GGCCAAGCCGGCCCCTGGGCACACCAAGGTCTTGCTCACGACCCGGCGCGCCTGTGTCTCGGCCCTTACCTTCTCTTTCCTTTCGGGGGCCCTCTCACGAAGCACCAATCCACGCTGATGGGCTGCCCCATCAGCTCCTGGCCGTTCAGCCCCTCCATGGCCGCCTGCGCCTCTTTATAGGTTTCGTACTCGACCAGAGTGTATCCCTAAGGAGCGGGAGGCAGGAGCATGAGCCACGGCCGACCCTGGCAAAGGGGCCGGGCACGGGAATAATCCCTCCCCAAGCCCTGGTCGATCCCACCCTCCGCAGCGGAGCGTGTCGCATCCAGCAGCTGCCACATGGATGAGTTCAAACGTCCCGTAAGGCAAAATGGAGGCAGCGAAGCCACCAAGAGGCTCGAGGGGCGAGCGCGGCTGCGCTGAGCACTCCCTCCTACCTTCAGGTAGCCCGTCCGTCTGTCGAGGTTCAGGTGGATGTTTTTTATCTCGCCGTACTCCGCGAATTTGTCGTGGATGTCTTCTTCCGTCGCCTCCTCGTGAACCCCCGTGACAAAGAGGATCCAGCCCTCCACCGCTGCGGTGCGGAAAGGGCAAGAGTTACTCCGAGTGCAGGGTGTGCTCCCATGTCGGCTGCGGGGTCTCAGGGAAAGGGTCCCCCCAAAAGCCATGGTGAAGCACAGAGCGAGCCGTAGATGGGCGGGAAGGGGAGATGGAGCCCCGGAGTCCAACATTCTTGGCTTAGCCCGCGATAAACCCCAGCAAGGTGGGGAAAGGCTCTGTCCCAGCAAGATCTGAATCCTGATATGGAACGAAGACCCCACATTCCCCCACCACCTCCCCACCCTCCAGTAAAGCGCCTGCGGGGAGGGCTGGGAGGTGCCTCCAGCGATACTCACACCTCTGTGGGCCCGGCTCGTCCCCGTCCTGCTCCACGCTGTCGTAGTCCTCGCGCACACGAGCCCGCGAGCCCTCCTCTGGGCACAGCAAAGGGGGGGAAAGAGAAATGGGCGACTGGTGCCATCCCCCAGGAGGACAACAGGACCCAGACAACCACAAACCCCTTTAAAGCGTCCCCAAAAGCACAAAGGCAGCCGGGATTTCACACCGGGCCGCTCTCCCCATGGCTGCAGGGGAAGTGTTTAACCCACAGCAGCGGGGGAGGCCCGGAGGGGCGGGGGACAGGAGGGCAGAGCGCCTGGGGTGCTCCTCACCTGAGCCGAAGCCTCGGCCCTTCCGCTTCTTGGCTTTCTCCTTCAGCTTGTGGATGCTCTCTGTGGGAGAGAGGGGAGCAGGTTGGAACCGGGGAGAGGGCCCAGACCACAGCGGCCCAGCTG